AAAGTGTGTCCTAAGAAAACAAAACAAAACAAAACAAAAAAACAAAAAAAAGAAAGCATGACTCACATATATGTTGTTTACAAGAGACCCACCTCACAACACAAGACTCACATAGGTTGAAAGTGAAGGGATGAAAAAAATCTTTCAAGCAAACAGAAAGCAAAAAAAAAAAAAAAAAGCTGGGGTAGCAATACTCATATCTGATAAAGTAGATTTCAAAGTAAAGGCCATAACTAGAGACAAAGTAGGTCACTACATAATATTGAAAGGATATATCCAACAGGAAGATATAACCTTGGTACACATATATGCACCCAATACAGGAGCACCAACATATATTAAAAATCTTTTGGAGGACTTCAAAGGAGAAATCAACAGCTATACAATCATAGCAGGGGACTACAATATCCCGCTGACCTCACTGGATAGATCTTCTAGACAAAATATTAACAAGAAAACACAGACTCTAAATGAAGCACTAGATGAAATGGATTTAATAGATATCTACAGAGAATTACACCCCAAAACTACAGAACTCACATTCTTCTCAAGTGCACATGGGACATTGTCAAAGATAGACCACATGTTAGGGAATAAACTAAGTTTCTACAAGTTCAAGAAGATTGAAATCATATCAAGCATCTTCTCAGATCACAATGGCATGCAACAAGAAATCAATTGTAACAAGAACATGCATAGCCATTTGAAAACATGGAGGCTAAATAGCATGTTATTGAACAATGAATACGTTACCATGCAGATCAAGGAAAAAATTAAAAACTTCCTGGAAACCAATGAAAATGAACACACAACACCACAAAATCTATGGGATGCAGCGAAAGTAGTTTTGAGAGGGAAGTTCTTAGCAATACAGGTCTACCTCAAGAAACAATAAAAATTTCTAATAGACTATCTAACCTCACAACTTAAAGAACTAGAAAGCAAATGAAAAGAAAACCACAGAGCAAGTAGAAGGAAGGAAATAGTAAAGATCAGAGCAGAAATAAATGACATGAAAACCACCAAAGCAATCCAAGGATCAATGAAACAAAGAGCTGGTTCTTTGAAAAGATAAAAAAGATTGATGCAGCCCAGCTGGTGTGGCTCACTGGTTGAGTATTGACCCATGCACCAAGAGGTCACTGGTTCGATTCCCAGTCAGGGCACATGCACAGGTTGTGGACCCGATCCCCAGTGGGGGGTGTGCAGCAGTCGGCCAATTGATGTTCTCTCATCAATGTTTCTATCTCTCTCTCTTCCTCTCCCTTCCTCTCTCTCTCCTGAAATCAATAAAAATATTAAAAAAAAAAAAAAAAGATTGATGGATCCTTAGCTAGACTCACCAAGAAACAAAGAGAGAGAACCCAAATGCACAAAATGAGGAATGAATGAGGAGAAATAATAACTGACACAACAGAAATACAAAGGATTGTTAACAAATATTATGAACAATTATACAGCAACAACTCCAACAATCTAAGCGAAATGGACGAATTTCTAGAAACATAGTCTCCAAACTGAATTGGGAGGAGATAGAAAACTTGAACAGACTAATAACAACAAAAGAAATTGAAGATGTAATCAAGATTCTCCCAGCAAACAAAAGCCCAGGCTCGGACGGCTTAATGGGGGAATTCTACCAAAAATTCAAAGAAGAACTAATACCTATTCTCCTCAAACTATTTCAAAAAATTTCAAGAAGAAAGAAGACTTTCAAACATGTTTTATAAGGCCAGCATAATTCTAATTCCAAAAACAAACAAACAAAAAAGACACCACAAAGAAAGAACTACAGGCCAATATCCTGATGAACATAGATGCCAAAATTCTGAACAAAATACTAGCAAATCGAATCAAGGAACACATCAAAAAAATTATTCACCATGACCAAGTTGGATTCATCCCAGGAATGCAAGGCTGGTACAATATTCGCAAATCAATAAATATGATACACCACAGAAAAAAAAAGAAAGATAAAAATCATATGAGCATATCAATAGATGCTGAAAAAGCATCTATTGACAAAATCCAGCACCGATTTCTGATAAAAAATACTAAGCAATGTGGGAATAGAGGGATCATATCTCGACATCATGAAGGCCATATGTAAAAGACTTACAGCCAACATCATACTCAATAGGCAAAAACTAAAAGCATTTCCCTTAAGAACAGGAGAAAGACAAGGATGCCCACTTTCACCATTCTTATTTAACATAGTACTGGAAGTCGTAGCCACAGCAAGCAGACAGCAAAAAATAAAAAAATAAAAGGAATCCAAATTGGAAAGGAGGAAGTAAAACAGTCAATATTCGCAGATGACATGATACTATACAAAGAAAACCCCAAAGACTCCATCAAAAATCTACTAGACTTAATAAATGAATTTGACAAAGTAGCAGGATACAAAATTAACATCAAGAAATCGATGGCATTCTTATACACCAATGATGAACTCACAGAAAGAGAAACTAAGAAAACAATCCCATTTACCATTGTGGCAAAAAAAAAATTTAGATACCTAGGAATACCAAAGAACTAAAGGATCTATTCACAGAAAACTACAGGTCATTGAAAAAAGAAATACAACAAGATATAAAAACGTAGAAGCACATACCTTGTTCATGGATTGGAAGAATTAACATTATTAAAATGTCCAAATTACCCAAAGCAATCTAGAGATTCAATGCAATCCTCATCAAAATATCAATGACATACTTCACAGAACTAGAACAAATACTTCAAAAGTTCATATGGAACCAAAAAAGACCTCAAATAGCCACAGCAATCTTGAAAAAGAAGAACAAAGTAGGAGGAATCATATTACCAGATTTCAGGTTATACTACAAACCCATTGTAATCAAAACAGCTGGGTACTGGCACAAGAACAGGCCTATAGACCAGTGGAACAGAACAAAGAACCCAGAAATGGACCCAAGGCAATATGCTCAATTAATATTTGACAAAGGAGGCAAGAGCATACAGTGGAGTCAAGACAGACCTTTCAATAAATCGTGTTGGGAAAATTGGACAGTTACATGCAAAAAAAAAAAAGTAACTAAAACATCAACTGACACCATACACAAGAATAGACTTTAAATGGACAAAAGACTTAAATGCGACTCATGAATCCATAGAAATCTTAGAAGAAAATGTAGGCATCAAAATTTTAGACATCATACGCAGCAGAATTTTCACTGATACATCACCTAAGGCAACTGAAACAAAGGAGAAAATGAACACATGGGACTACACCAAACTCAAAAGCTTCTGCATAGCAAAAGAAACAACCACCAAAATGGAAAGGCAACCCACTCTATGGGAGAGCATAATTGCCATATTACATCAGATAAGGAGTTAATTTCCAATATATAGAGAGGGCTCATACAGCTCAACAAAAGGAAGACAAAGAACCCAATTAAAAAATGGGCAGAGGAACTAAAATAGACACCTCTCCAAACAGGACATACAAATGACTAAGAGACATATGAAAAAATGCTCAACATCACTAATCATCAGAGAGATGCAAATTAAAACAACAATAGGGTACCACCTCACACCTGTCAGAATGACCTTCATCCACAAATCATCAAACAACAAGTGTTGGCGAGGGTGTGGAGAAAAGGGGACTCTAATACACTGCTGGTGGGAATGCAGACTGGTGCAGCCACTATGGAAAACAATATGGTGTTACCTCATAAAAATTGAAAATTGAACTGCCATTTGACCCAGTGATCCCACTTCTTGGAATATACCCTAAAAAGCCTGAAACAACAATCAGAAAGAATATATGTACCCTCATGTTCATAGCTGCACTATTTACAATAGCTAAGATCTGGAAACAGCTCAAACAGTTCATCAGTAGACAAATGGATAAAAAATAGTGGTACATATACACAATGGAGTACTATGCAGCTGTAAGAAAGAAAGAGCTCTTATCCTTTGAGAAAACATGGAGCACCTGGAAAGTATTATCCTAAGCGAAACAAGCCAAGCAGAGAAAGACAAATAGCACATGATCTCACTTATTTGTGGAATATAGTGAACATAACAGTCTGCGGAATGGGGTAGTCCCAGAGACATGGAAGTGGGTTACAGTCTGACAATCCCAGAAGTGGGGATGGTAGGGTAGAGATAAACCACAGAACTTATATGCATATATGCATGAACAAAGGTCATGGACAAGAAAGCTGGGGACAGGAGGTGTGTATCTGGCGGGGGGCGGGGGGAGAAACATCTGTAACAAAAATAAATTAATAAAAATAAAATAAAATAAAAATTCACTGATAAATAAATAAATAAATATCCATCACCTAACTGTAAAAAATTTTTTAAAGTCTCATATAACAATTTTATGTGCAGTGTACTATGATGCTTTTTGAGTGTTTTATTTTATTTATGGTCATGATGATGTTGGCAAAAAACATTTATATCATAGCCCATCAAGTACACACATGGAGCTGAGAGATGGGGATGCAAATAACATGGCAAGGCAATTTGAAGAAGTTTGGCAATTTGAAGAAGTTTGACTATAAGTTGAAGCAACAGCAATGAGAAAAGTGAGTTTCCTTCAGATCTGCCTATCGCAAGGGAGTAAGCATTGTTATTCACAGTTGTCCATTTTAAACTAATTACATGATTACTACACTAGATACTAAGTCAAACAGAGCAAATGCATGAGCTAAAAAGATAGCAGCTAATATTCAAAATAACCATTTTTAAAAATGACAATATAGAATTAAAATCAGTAGGATTTTGACTAATTGCTTCCCAAAGAAGTTTACAAAATGTTGCTTGAAAAAAATTATATATAGATACTGTTACAATACAAAAAAATGATAAAATCAGTTTTATGAGACAAAAAAATGAAGGACTAAGACAGCTCTATGAAGACTCCAAGCAACATTTCCTCCAATCCCCAAAGAGTATCAGATCCTCAGCTAATTTGGATGTTTAAATTTACAACTTCCTAGTATAACAAATATTATGAAGCAATGACTTACTGTTCTTATCTTGACCTCGATTTTCTCTGTGAAATGTAGTAATTTCCTGCCTACAAGGAAAAAGAGATAATATGAGACACTCTTGTTTTCTGAAGCTGAAACTACACTTGAAAGAAATGTTTTGTTGCTCTTAAGCTAAGGTCATTGCTAGAATGACAACTTAAAAATTAAATAAAATAAAAAGCCTGTATAACCTAGTTTTTTGTTTCTGCAAAACCATGTAATTAAAAAATAAAAATCTAGAAAAACATTTACATTGAGAATGAAATTCTATATTTTATGAAATTTAAGGAACTACTAGATTATCAGATTATGTATATCATTACATGATGTATTGAATATGTGCAGTATAGTGAAATATGGAGCAATTCAAAGAAACAGTTGAAAGTCCATTTATCTACTCTTCACAGAGTATATATCTTTAAAGGTAAATGAGAAGGTCCTAGAAATTCTGAATACAAATTTACAGTGACTGATATCAATAAGTGTGAGCTGTTGATGATAAAGATTTTCACTACAGGGACATGATTTCACACAACAAAGAATGACTGAGAGAGGATGGAGTTCCCAGCACATCACCTTTTGTTCCTCTCCCTCCCAGACTCCTAAACATGATGAGAATATGGAGATCACAAAGGGTACCACCTGAATGACCTGCCCACCTCAAGGTGGAGGTGGTAATACACACGGAACAGAAATGTGCACAGGGCAGAAGGAAGAGAATATTTGGTGAGGAAGAAGTTTGAGACAACATCAAAATAAAATCCTAATCTTAGCTTTTTTCTTTTCTGCACTGTCCCCAAAAAAATACACTAAGGTTACACACACAATTTTATCTCCCAAATGACCTACTTCCACTTAAAATAGTAAGCATAAAGTTGCAAACATGAACCAGATAACAAAAATACAGTAAGACCTCAATAAAATGGACTAATTTGGGAAAGGGAATGTCTGTTAAAGCTGAAAGTCCATTATATAGTAAAGTCTAATAACTGTGTGCATTCACCAGTCACAGAGAGTAAACAAATACACACAGCTGGGGTGCACGTTGGAATATTATGTGTTAACATCACATGTTGAAACTTCTGCAGAAAGTCACACCACACGACAACAGAACCAATTAGTATGTGTGATTTGGTGGGATCACATGCTAATCATTCTCAAACATTGTCTATGAGTAGTGACTTGGATTTAAATATGTCTACTATAGTTGTAGATATGTAATATTTATTTTTGTCAGCAAAATTACTACAGTGTTTTTTTCTAACATATGGCCTATTCATTTTAAAGGGGTTAAAAATAACGGTGAATTAATAACAAAAATAATAGTTAATTATAAGCAAATCTTGGTTAAAGGCATTTTAAAATTAACAGTGTTAATTTTCACATAGGACATAAGGACCAGAAATTTTATACATTAAGTCCAAAGTTTGTTAAATTGAGGTCTGCAAAATCAAGGGCTTGCTGTAATACAAAAAAAAAAAAAGATACACTATATAAAAAGCAGATAAACAATAATTATCTGTTAATTACTGTTAATAATAAGTGGGCTAACATAACTCAGAAAAACAATGAAAAGAAAGATAAAATCTTTACAAAAATTAAAACAGCATTAAAAGCATCAAAAATGTAAATCAATTTTTTAAAAACAAAGCAGTAGCATGTAAAGCATGCTTGAAATGAAAATTAAATGGAAGAACATGAGGAGGTAGAATGGTTAGAGAAAGGATGATAATTATATAAAAAAGGCCTAATATGCACAATTGTTTTTCCTGGAGATGAGATCCAAACAAATGAAACATAATATCCAATGATATAATAAAGAAAACTCCTGAAATAAAGTCTTGTATCTGAAAATAGATTTTACGGAAAAAAATCACATGAGATATGTAGTAGCTTCTGAACTTCAAGAATAAATAATGAATCCTAGAACACCCATTGGGAAAACATATATGTAAAACCAAGTCAATAAGGTGAGCTTACGCTGGCCTAGTATCCACACTTGGAGCCATGCACACCAAGTCGTGAGAAACAAAATGATCCCAGAACTATAATACCCTCCAAGGAAAGAAAATGTATTGTCAAATCTTAATACTCATAGGATATAAAACCTATTAGTTCTTGGGGCAGGGGGCAGGAAGATGAATATAGCACAACATTTGAACTTTTTGAAATGCAAAGTCATGTTACAAAGAAGTTGGTAAATGATGGATCCAGCTCGCTCAGCCAATTGTCTATGCTCCTGAGGATTTGGCCATGATATCCAATGCTAAATCTAGGTTACGAATTATCCCCACCTACTGCTAATAGTCTACTCTAAATTAAATGCAGTGGAACAGCCTGGCTGGTGTGGCTCACTGGTTGAGCGTCAACCCATGGACCAAGAGGTCACTGGTTCAATTCCTGATCAGAGCACATGCCCAGGTTGTGGACCCAATCTCCAGTGGGGGGCATGCAGGAGGTGACCAATTGATGTTCTCTCTCATTGATGTTTCTATCTCGCTCTCTCTCTCTCCCTTCCTCTCTCTCTAAAATAAATAAATAAATAAATAAATAAATAAATAAATAAATAAATAAATAAATAAAATGGATTATCTCTCTGTCCCATGCCTAGCTGCAACTTCCTGACAGTGAAAATCTCTCTGGATATATTTCTTTGGTTTTTTGTTTAAATGCCCTATATTGTGGACTAATTGTCTCCCCTGGCCCCCCAAAAAATCATATGCTGAAGTCCTAACCTTCATGACCTCAAAATGAGACTGTGTTTGGAGACGGGGTCTTTACAGAAGTAATTAAGTTAAAATGAGGTCATTGGGGTAGGTCCTAATCTAGTTAAAGTAGTGTCCTTATAAGAAGAGGAAATTGGATATAGACAGGGACAGAGGGGAGAAGATATGAATACACAGGGAGAAGACAAGCATCTATGAGCAAGGAGAGATACCTCAGAAGAAACTCACAGTGCCAACACTTGACCTTGGACTTGGGGCCTCCAGGATTGTGAGAAAATAAATTTCTGTTGTTCATATCTCCTGATTTATGGTATTTTGTTATGGCAGGCTGAGCAGAGACTGGACCAGACAATACTAAGTATTAATCCAGATAGTCCTCCTCATCCTCCTTGTTTCCTGAGGGAATTTATAGCCACTTCTCCTCTTTCCCTGCCCTTCCACTGCATGGACCATCTTACATCCCAGAAGATAAAGACCTTACAAGCTTCCCTTTCTCAGTTAAGAACTACATCCAGACAAAGCTGAAAACCCCAAACGTCTACAACTGTCATGTATTGTTATACACCAACATATTTAGAGTCAGTGTGAAGCAAAGAAAAAGAAAATGTGAATACATATATATTTTTTAATCCTCACTGGAGGATATTTTTCTATTTATCTTCAGATAGAGTAGGAAGGAGGGAGGGAGAGAAAGAGAGAGAGAGAAACATCAACATGAAAGGGACACATCGACAGGTTGCCTCCCACACAACCCTGACCAGGGCAAGAGACGAACCACAACTGAGGTACGTGCCCTTGGCCAGAATCAAACCCAAGACTCATTAGACCATGGGCCAACGCTTTAACCACTGAGCCAAACTGGCCAGGGTGAAAATGTGAATATTAACTCAAACAAAATAGTAGTAGATTAATTTCTCAGCCAATAACAAAAAGTAAGAAAAATAGGATGTAGAATATCTGAAATATATAATGAACTATTTCCTTAATACATAAATTAACCTTAAACAGTAAATTATATAGTAATTTTCAAAACCTGTGGGACATAATAAACATAATGCTAATTCATATTTATTAAGGGGTCATTTCAACCAGGCATTGTGCTAATGAATAGACATTGATTTTTTTTTCTTCTTTACTGATTTTAGAGAGAAAGGAAGGGAGAAGGAGAAAGATAAAAACATTGATGAGAGAGACCATTGATTGGCCACCCACCTCCTGGATGCCCCCAACTGGGTATTGGGCCCACAACCTGGGCATGTGCCCTGACCGGGAATCGAACCAGTGACCTCTTGGTGCATAGGTCAATGCTCAACCATTGAGCCACACCAGCTGGGTGACATTGATTATTTTAAAATGTTATTTTCACAATCTTAATTTGTAGGATTTTTATTTTTACTTATTTTTTTTAAATAATAAGCATCCCTTTATTTGCAGATGCCATTGCAAAAGCTGATTACATGAGCAACAAAAAAGTGTTTTCTTGAGTTAAAGTCAGAGGCCATTACTCCCCAAAATGTTAAGTAAAACAGTGTACAACATCAGTATTGAATGCTAAATTTTACATTGTCTTTACCACTTTTGACTTTCTGGACAATTTTATTGAGCAAATAAGATAAAAGATTACATGTTCATTTATCTTCAGGAATGCAAAAATCTAATTATTCAAACAGTTTTATGATAAAACTAAACTCTGAAATTGTCTACAGAGTTGACTTTTTTTCTGTCTCTCTTTAAATCAGTAGTTGAACGAGGATCAGAAAAGACAAAACTCTTGTCTGTGTTTCTGCTGAAGCAGAAAGGGTAAAAACATAAATAAGGCTTTAATTTGGCACAATATGAATACAATGCCTCCTTTTATCGGTGAATGGACACTTTCCTGATTACTTCCCAATTACTCTGATATTGAGTAGTGTTCTTTCTCCTTTGTGAACTGTAGGTTTACTGCCTGAAGCAACTGTTGTTAGCCTTACAGACATTGCCTCCTTCTCAGAAGAATCCACTGCTGGGGAAACATCACTATTCCCAATGACAGTAGTGTCTCCCGTAGCTTTTACTACTTTTGACTAGGTAAGATCCAGTGACTGTTGAGCTTTATGCAAGTCACCAGCTACCTTCTGTTTTTCAATTTGTTCAGTTATAAGTTTTGTGAGTTTCATTTAACTGTGTTTTTAACTGACTTCTGCAACATAGGTAGATTGTTCGATTTCTGCCTTCTCTAGTTCCATTTCCAAATTCTCTAGTTCTCATCTCAGATTTTCAGTATCTTTATTTTCTCTTCTTAATTCCTCTAGCTCTTGTTCTGGAGATGTGAATGACAACTG